AAGACAAACAATACACCCTAATCAGGCCAAGCTTACACAGAATCTGTTCCCTTAAGACCTCTGATGCCTTTTGCAGTCCAGGGGAGCCTAATTTCTAATGATCCATGTCATCTTACACGAATAACCAATCTCTAGATAAAGAACATCTATTGTCAAATTTACAACATAGTAAAATAATGGGATCTTTGCATATCTATGCAGTTATGGACCTTGCCCAAATGGTCCGTGAGATCAGATCAAGTGATTTCCTTTTGAGCTGCTACAAATGCTTTCTACCTGCTTTTAGCTGTACAGTCCACTATCTGGGTTTGCCAGCTGCTCTATGTAGAGTATTTCAATAAATTCTGTTTTTCTCTTTTTAATTCCTAAAAAAAAGAAGAAGAAATGGTGTCAGGCTTTAAGACCTCAAAGCCCACGTCCAGTGACACACATTCTCCAGTAAGGCCACACACACTAACCCTGCTCAAACAGGGCCACCAACTGGAGACCAAGGACCCAAATGCCTAGGTATAGTGGAGACCTATGATTCAAACCACCACACTGACTAACAGGGAAATGTGATGAGTCCAGAGAAACTCAGAAACAGACAATGTTTCTCTCTAGACCATGGTACAGTGTTTTTTATTTTCATGTTTTTCCTTTTAGTTTATTCAACATAAAACAATCTTCTCCGCCTTCACTGAGGTGGCTGACCAAGTCCAGGACCAAAGCTGCCTCTGAAGTAGAATCCCATTGCTGAGTCAGCTCCAGCTTCAGCCTCCTTATCAGCACCCAGGGCACAGCGCTCCTTCTGTGGGTGTCTCTGTCCGCTCCCCTCTTGTAAACCTTGCAGGTGACTCACCCTCTGGACCTTTGGCCTGAGGCCTGCAGTCTGAGGATGGTGATGTGCAGGGCGGCAGGTGTGCCATCTCAGGAGGTTGGTGGACATAATCTCTAAGATCCTGGGTGCCCTCCTTGGGAAGGGAAGGTACCAGAAGAAATGTCTCCAGGCAGACTGCTCCTTCACTGTGAGATGTGATAGACTGAGTACCTTCCTTACAAAAAGGCTGGGTACGGGGGAGGAGGGAAGGGAAAGGGAGCTGGGATTGGCATGTGAAGCAAGCCTGTTTCTAATTTAAATAAAGGAAAAAACAAAAGGGTTGGGTACGTTCTTGTCTGGCAGATAGGGTTGTTTGGGCATATGGGCACTCTTCTTGACAACCAGCTCTCTCTCTCTCTCCTTAAAAAGGAATTCACAGATGGTAATCCTGGTAATCCTGTTAGATAGTGCTTGTTTGGGTTTTTTTCTTGTCTATTTTGAAGTAGAGTTGTATATGTGTAATGCCACAAACAACTCAAAGATCCATTTATTTTTAATTATAGGTCCTCATTTTGTGGTTCTATCTGCCCTGGAATTCACTATATAAAGCAGGTCTATCTCCACTGGCCTCCTGAGGGCTGGTTAAAAGGCTGTACCACCAAAGTCAGCCAAAGACACTTTTCTTAGTCAGACATACTTTCACTCTATGTTGAAGGGGACATTCCAAAAACTTTGGCACAGTTGTTCTCAAAGTGTTGATCCAACCACACGAGAATACAACCGCTACCACAACTTTCAAGCCAATTTTGAAGCCTACCACGGAATATGCCCAGGTTCTCCATGCATTTTATTATCATAACAAGCTTTATTAAGTACTGGCCTGGATGACGGACACTGGCCAGGTCCATACCTGGGATTCCCAGAGAATAGCTGTGAATTACGTTAGTCAGGTGCTTATAAAGGCAAAACCCACAAAGCTACATACCTCCAGCCTTCATCCAATAACGGACAAGCATACATCCTGACAAACTTCCTGCCTATGCATCTCCGGCCTACAGTATGCACTCTTAAACACAGAGCCATCTCTCCAGCTCCGGAAGTTTGCATCTTGTACACACAATACAGCCAGCTTCTGCCGCATTTCCTAAGGCAGTGGTTCTCAACCTTCCTCACGCTAAGACCCTTTAATACAGTTCCTCGTGTTGTGGTGTCCCCCAAACATAAAGTTATTTCATTGCTACTTCATAACTGTAATTTTGTTAGTGTTATCAATCATAATGTAAATATGAGATATGCAAAACCCAAAGGGGTCTCGACCCACAGGTTGAGAACCGCTACCCTAAGCTACTTCTATAAATGCCCTCTTTAATCACTGCTCTCCACATACCTGAAGCCCCAGCCCTGGGGGCGGTGAGGGGGGATAGAATCAGGCAGGTCCCTGGAGCTCACTGCCCAAACAGTCCAGTCAATCAGTAATTTACCACCCCCACCCCTATCCCCCCACCTCCCCACGGGCCTCCCGTCTGTCTCCTCTCTCTCTTTCTCTTTCTCTTTCTCTTTCTCTTTCTCTTTCTCTTTCTCTTTCTCTTCTCTCTCTCTCTCTCTCTCTCTCTCTCTCTCTCTCTCTCTCTCTCTCTCTCTCTCTCTCTCTCTCTCTCTCTCTCTCATTGGTTTGTTTTTTTATTTTTCAAGACAAAGCTTCTCTGTGTAGCCCTGACTGACCAGGCTGGCCTCCAACCCACAGTAATCCACTTGCTTCTGCCTTCCAAGTGCTGGGATTAAGGCAGGCACCAAGGTTTCTCTGTATGGCTTTGTAGACCAGGCTGACCTCAAACTCTAAGAGATCCGCCTTCTTCTGCCTCTGCCTCCCAAGTGCTGGGATTAAAGGGACATTTTTATTTCTTTAAAGGTTCCTGTTACACTCTCTTACTACTCCCTTCTATATGATCTGGTCACTAATCTTAATCCCTCACACATTCCACCCAGTTACCCAGACCCTAGTCAGTTGCTTCTATGAACAGCTTAAAATCTATAGTCTTTCATTGTCTGCTGACTTTATGCTACATACTGGATCAATTTAGGATGTGTTTCTTGAACAGTTCTTTCTGAAGTCCTCATTTTATAGACACACCGTGACATTCATCATAGCCTGCTTTTTATCTTTCTTTATGAATTCAATAGTTTTTTAAATTTTTGTGAGCCTACGGAGTTTGTTTTTGTGCTTTCCCAATCTGTGAATCATCTATCTCCTTGAGAATTGTTGCTTCATTTTGTCTTGCTTTTCTTCTTTGTGCTACAAGCTTCCTGTAACCGTGGAAGGATTAAGGAGCCTGTTGCAATGGCCTTAAGAATGAGGCCATAGAAAGTCTAATAGGGTATATTGTGAAATTGTGAAAGAACAAAGTTTGTCATTAGGCCAGCTTTACCTTGAGTAGATAACTGTTTAAAAAACAAAAACAAAAACAAAACAAAACAAAAACAACCTAGCCCCCCCTGCTAGCTCCCAAATATTAAAAAAGTCAATCAATATTTTTTTCACAGGAACAACGGGGAAACTTTAAGCATTGCTTGAAGGCACAAAATAGGCAGAAAAATTTCAAGTGCAGCCAATAGGACAGACTGAAAGATGCAAACAAAAGGTGGGTGAGCCCCTAGCAGAATCCCAAGATGCAGTCAAGTCCTGGGCACAACCAAGCATCTAGTGCAAGCCTAGAGTTACCCACCAATGCTGGGATCCGAGGCCTCAGACAGGTGAGGAGAGAATGAAGGTCCCAGATCGGTCAAGGAGCATGAGCTACAGGTTCATTTGGGCTTATTATCATGTTGTATGTTACGGCCTGCACCCCAACAGTGACTGATGCACAATTCCTGCTTCATAACTGTAATTTGGGAGCCTCCCCCAAGCCAAATTCTAAAGACATAATCACATGCAATTTCATGGGAACCAGGGAGATGCTTCTGCAATGTAGATCTTTCCATTTCCTAGAACTTGTCACTTTTCCTTTGGTGACAGAGTCCCTTCCCCTTTTCCAGCTGAGTAGGTGTTCACTTCTTCTCTTCTCCAGGTTTAAATCCAACAACTCCTCCGCTTAAAATCGTACACCTTGGGTCTTCAGTGGCTCCATTTTTGTCCCCTGACTCTCACAATTTTGACTTGATATACGTGTCTTAGCACTCTAAAGATCTATGCAGGTCCCACCTTGTGTAGCCCACTCTTTTGTTATTTCTCTGTCTCTGTCTCTGTCTCTGTCTCTGTCTCTGTCTCTCTCTCTCTCTCTCTCTCTTGGTTTTTCGAGACAGGGTTTCTCTGTATTGTTTTGGAGGCTGTCCTGGAACTCGTTCTGTAGACCAGGCTGGCCTCGAATTCACAGAGACCCGCCTGCCTCTGCCTCCCGAGTGCTGGGATTAAAGGCGTGCATCACCGACGCCCGGGGCCCCACTCTGTTGTAAATTGCTCCATGAGTGGTAGGATCTGGGTTAGACTGACTATTCAATATGGCCTGCGTATATGTGTTGCCATGAATATTCTGCCCTTGCCTCGTTGGTCCAGTCTGGAGTTTAGCTCAGGTGTCCCCCTTCCTTGTATCTCACAGATTAGTAAACATCTGTGGTGAGAGCTTTGGAAACTTGTTCTAAGCTCTATATCTAGGATGGAAATTATCTCCTGGTGTGTTGTCATTGGGTTTCTTGTTTGCTTGTTTGTTTGTTTGTACCATGACTCCTTACCTGAATTCCAGTAATACCCATCAACTACGTCTTCTATACCTCTTTGGACAATGGGGATTGCTTTGTGTTAAGAGAAATAAGGAACGAGGACTGAAGTATTTGGATGCAACAGGTCTAAGTCTAAGTGTAGTCTCACTTTAGGCAGGACATTGGAACACACTGTACTCAGACAGCAAGTTACCCTCTATAGACTGCCTCTATAGACTGCCTCTATAGACTGATCAGTTCTGCCCGGGTCTTCACACAACAACCTCCCTCCCTTACAGACCACCGCTTTGGTTGAATTCAAACATGCTTTATAGCTAAGCTTATGTCAACTAAGCAAAAAAAAAAAAATGCCATGGAGCACATCTGAGGTTTACACACAGTTCAGCTTCTGGACCAGAGCTAAATCAATGCAGATCAATGCAGTTCTGATCTTCAGGGAAAGGAGGAAATTAAGGCTAGGATGTTGCCCAGCTGGGAGAGTGCTTACCTTACATGCACAGAGCCCTGGGTTCAGTCACTGGCACAGCCCCAGAGGCAAAAGGACCAGTCACACAGTTCAAGACCATCCTCAGACAAGGGAGACCAGACCTTAAAAAAAAAACAAACAAAAGAGTAAAATTAAATTTTAAAAACTGAAGAACTCGGTGATAACCCCTAATAAACTCTGGAACCAATTAAAAGATGATTGAGAACAAAAGCAAAGCCTTTAACACTTATTTAGTGTGTATACATAAGTGAGCATGCATGTCTCAGTACACGTGTGAGGTCAGAGGACAAGGTGCTGTGATCACTTCCTCTCTCCAAGTGGCCTCAGGCCTCAGGTCACAGGCTTGGTAATCATTTCCTTTGCCGGCAGAGTCATCTGGCAGCCCCAACAGATGTTTTTGGCTAGAAGCTAATTCATAATTAACTATCGTTCTAGGTAAGGTTCCTCACATTCATCAGGATAATCTGTCAGAAGCATCTTACTGAAATAACCAACTGCAAGCCTCTCCAATGGCATATATTAAGTTTGATAACAGTGTTTTAAGCTCCTGGTTGTATCTGAGATTAAGCAGATTGTCTATGGCAGTCCCTGTCCCCAGCTTTGACTCTCAGTCACTTTGATGTTGTTACCCAAGCACCTTTTATTCATTATTTCATTTCTTTTGTGGTGTCGGGGCTTGAACTCAGGACCTCTCACACACTGGGACAAACGCTCCACCACTAATCTACATCCCAAGCCCTATGCATCTTTTTAAATTTTGAGAATACAGTTTACACTCGTTCATGGCAATGGCAGCTACAATGATGTAACACACTTGGCCAGCTGCTGAGGTATCTGATGAGGTCTCGGCCTCCGGTTAAGTCTAGAATTTCAGCCTGTCTAAACTTAGCTGGGATATCTCCTGACAGAGGACTTGCCCTGAAGGAGCCAGCCCAGCAGCTGATTCAGTGCCAGAATCTTGATGGGAGGCCAGGAACAGTTCTAAACCAAATGGTTATTTGTCGATCATATCTATTTTTTAAAAACATTCTGTGCTGGTTTGTTTTTTGGTCAACTCTACACAAGCTAGGGTCATCTGGAAGAGTGAACCCCGACTGAGGAATCGTCTCCAGCAGACTGTCTTGTGCGCACATCTGGCTGTGGGAGGCTCCAGATCACTGCGGGCAGTGTCACTCGCGCGCGGTGGTCCTGAGGTATATAAGAAGGCAGCATGAGTAAGCCACGAGGAGTGAGCTAGTAAGTCCTGATCCTCCCCTCCTGACTTCCCTTTATGATGGACCGTGATGGAGACAATGTAAGTCCAATTCGCCCTTGCTTCCCCGAGCTGCTGCTGTTTATCAAAGCAACAGACAGCAAACTAGAACACATGTCTAAGGATGTGTGGTGCAGCCCCGTGGACCGGAAAGTGATAAGTAAAACTGAAGAACCGTGTTCTGGTTCTCTGCTGATGGGTAAATGTCCCCACACACCTGCTGGTAGGAAATAGCACCTCTTTCTTCTTCTACAGAATCTGGACACAGCCGCGTGCAGCCCTCTGGTTTTTAAGTCCCCCGAGAGGCCGAAATCAGGTGGTATCCGGGGCTGGGCTCTCATTTGGAGAGTTATGTGCTCCCAAGTTCACTTGGTGGACCGCGAGATATGACTGCGCATGCCCTGCTGCCCCAATGGCTCCATTCCTTACAGGCTGATAACTATCACCGCCCTGCGCTCCTTCTCACTGCGCTTCCCCAAGCGTGGCCACTTGTTCACACATGGAAGCGATTGAGTAGTAATATAAATACCACATTATGAATACCACACTATAGAATCATAGAAATGACAACCCGTCCTCTGGGTTAATGACAAACTAGTCGTAGATGCCGTCTACATTCAAAATAAAGAGAAAAGGGATTACACAAGCCACGAATATTAGAGTTCAGGGATGATAGGGGGCTATCTGAGGTTTTCTGTGCCTCAAGCTGGTGGGGGGGGGGAAGCACGACGGACAGACAGAGGGAAACATGCCCTGCTTCAGGACAGTGCACCATGAGGAGGAAAGGGCATTTAATAGCGGAAACTTGTGAGCCTGAGAGCACAGGGAACCTAGGGCGATTTAGGGGACAAACTGAGGCCAACAGGAGCTAAAAACGAGCTTTAAATTCTTTCTTTGGGCATAGGACCAGCCTTATTAAAAAAAAAAAAAGTTTAACGGCAACAGCTGTAAGTGTCCACATGGTGGCAGCAGACACCAGAAAATTGTGTTGAGAACACCTGCCTCTAAGTGAGAACAAGTTTGTTTCCTTTTATGGCAACTCATGGTTTCCTCTGTCTGCTCCTTGAAAGGGAAAGGAAGTGGTTACCCTGTTTCTCCTCCTCCGTTCCTAAAGCACTGTCCCTAATAATACCTACAACGAGCAAGGACTATATCCTCCACAACTCCTAGAGCGACAGCAACAGTCCTGGGGAGGAGCCATGGGACCCCTCCTGAAACAGGGACTTAGGATGTCAATACTACAATACTAACAGCCCCAGACATCTAAGTCACTACAAGATCACAACAGGTATGGTGTGAAGTCAGTCTCATTCAGAGTTGGATCAGAATTAGTGCCCTTGTACAAGAAGCTTCAGAACCACCTCCTAGCATGTGAAGATTCAGGAAATAAACCCTCATTAGACATCACATCTTCAGGAGCCTTGATCATGGCATCTTGTTACAATGTCGTGAACAGAGCCAAGGGAAACTGTAGTGATACATTTCTATGAAAGTATCTCTTGCATTAAAAATAAAAAGGTATTTTCCAGATCTCGCCACCACAAAGTTAGTAAGACAGTTGCCATGAGATCATTCAAGTCTACATACTTGACCTGCTGTCCTATTATGTACTTGACCTATTTAAGTTTAACCTTCCTTTGAGAGAACAAAGTAACCTCCTTGGGTTGTGCATGCAATCAGCTTTACAACCTAAGTTAAATGACAGCTTTGATCTATTTGTAAATTTTTATGTATTTTTATTTTATACTAATGAATATTTGCCTACACGTATGTATTGCAACACGTGCCCGGTGTCCATGTAAACCCACAGAGAGTACCAAATCCCATGGAACTGGAGTTACAGATGGTTAACTGTCATGTAGATTCTGGGAATTGAACCCAGGTCCTCTGCACAAAAAAAAAAAGTGCTCTTAATTGTTGAGGCATCTCTCTAGCCCATCATAGCTTTAATCTTAAATTACATATTCTTCCATGTCCCTAATCCAAAATAAAGTATATATGTATGCATGCATGCATACATGTATATATGTATGTGTTGTGGTAATCACTTGCTGAAAGCTGCAAGTAAGTTCAAAGCAACCCTCAAACAAATATCCACCATAAATTTTGCAAACAACACGGATAAAGCTTGACTGTCAAAGATGTCTGTAAGGAAGCCCTCATGCTTTCTCATGCCATGTGCTCTGTATTGTTCAATAAATGCAGAGCAAAGGCCATTGTGAGGGGCAAACAACGGATTGCAGACCTGTAAGTACAAACTACAGACAGATTGAAGATACAGGGAGTGAAGTGACGAACTCAAATTCATCACTTGGGCTTGCTCTGGGTCACACAAGAGAAAGGGACTTGCTTTCATTCCTTAACTAGAGATGGATGCAACTCGGTGCCCTGAGGTTATGTTGACTGCATTAGCTACTGAAGGAAATGAATGGAGGCAGGAGTGTGTGAAGGAATGTGCCACCCAGTTTCTATAAATGTGAAATTTGAGGTGACCAGTGTTGCATTTTTGTTATTGTTTGGCAAAAACAATTGAGATCACCGCAGCCTTGCCTCTGAAGAATGTGTGAGGATTTGTTGTTCTCTGTACAAAGTCAGCCTGTCCTCTTTATATAGCTGGAGGAAGAAGAATTTAGCTAAGGAAACTTGAGACCTACGAAAGAAGAAACTAACACCCCACCTAGCATGTCCAACCCATGGCCTATGAGCTATTGTGATTGACAATAGATAGCTGTGGCTTTTTTTTTTCCGGTTTCTTTTGTAACTCAGTTGTGAGGCTATCCAACACGAACTTTTCCGGTAGTAACACCTTTTTGCAGTGTCAAAAGGTTGGGCATGCTTGCTTCTCATTTCTTCTCAGATCTAGAGACAGGGCGCTTGGTTAGGTCTCGTTAGTCACAATAAAAGTCTTCGATTTTCTTAGATAACGTCATCACAGAAACATGAAGAAGGGACCAATTCCTGGCACTGAGCCCCAGACCTGAGCCAAGAGACGAAAAACTGCAGTGGTAGGGCAGCATTCAAAGGCGTCTGTCCCAATCTGGCCCAGGTGGGCACAAACATGCGCTCAGGAGAAGTCAAGGCTGTGGAGGCTTTGGTTACTGGAATCTAATCTGTAGGGGTTAGGGGTTAGCAACAAAAAGTTGATGAACTAATGGACTGCAGAATCTAAGCAGAGCCTGCCATCCTGGGGAGACTGGGTAGACTTCCCACTCTAGGAAAAGTGACTGAGGGAAGAAATGAGACAAGCAATGGAATGAAGTTGGGCTCAGCTTCCTTTTCAACACAATAATACCAGGAACGCCAGTGTGTGCATACTCGGCTGCAATTACTGCTGGTATGCCAGCTGCCTGGAAGACTTAAGACAGGACTTCACCCGAAAATAGACGATACACCTAAATGAGAAAAGAGAGAGAGAAAGACACACACTGAGGGTGGCCAGATAGATAGGTAGATAGATAGAGATACATACATACACAGTTACATAATGCACACATACATGATTACTTACATACATAGGTACATAATACATACATACATGGTTGCATACATACATACGTAGTTACATAGATAAGCAGATATACGGATGCATTGGTTTACATGTATAGATAGATATGGTATTACACTTCCACCTTGAGTGAGAACTTTTAAACAAGACCACATGAAGGCAGACTGATCAATCGCTCACACCCTCACATGCTCAGAAGTGCTAACCGGAAAAGACATGGGCTTCCTGGGCAAGCACAGGGAGGCTTCCTGGGGAAATGGCAGACCTGCTGCCAATGTAAACCTGTAGATGGCAGGGCTGTGTGCTGGGAAGTGCTAAGAGCAGCAATTTTCACCCAAGCTTTAAGAGCATTCAACTGGAGTGTGTTCTTAAAACTTTAATTTTTGGTGCTGGGGATTGAATCTAGGCTCTTACACAAAATCAATCTCTGTCTGTCTGTCTGTCTGTCTCTGTCTCTGTCTGTCTCTGTGCGTGCGTGTGTGTGTGTGTGTGTGTGTGTCTGTCTGTCTGTCTGTCTCTAATATTAGGGTTAAAAAAGCAGAATTCACAACTAAAAATAACAGAGTTAACACGGTTCTTCTGCACGCACAGGCAGCCTCTGTCCACCTAATACAGCTGTCTGCTGATGTCTGCCAACAGGATGGTTAAAAATAGATGGCTAGTCTCCACAGTAAGGGTGTTGCATGACTGATTTATACAGTGTTCCATATTTATTCATCTACATTAGTTATCTTCAAATATTCTTGTGTTCCCTGAAGAGAAATTTGAAAAGCTGCATGTCCTTCATTTGCTTCAGGTTGGCCACTTAATATTTTTTTTTTATGTTTAGATGATTGAAAAGTTTATCTGTCCATGGCTCACCATTACATTATAACAAGAACGAGTAAGGATTTAGCTAGTCCTGTTTTCCAGTCATAGCTTCAGTATCCAAAGTAAATCTTTGTTCTCACAATGGGAGACAAGAGTGAAAGTGTTGCTAGAGGTAGCCCCCCATTCCTTTCAACCCCATCGAAAATTGGTTTGTAATGATCTACTTAAATAACAAAGTACAGGCCTGGAGAGATGGCTCAGTGGTTAAGAGCACTGACTGCTTTTCCAGAGGATCCAGGTTCAATTCCCAGGACCCACATGGCAGCTCACACCTGTCTGTAACTCCAGTTTCAGGGGACCCGACACCCATGGCAAAAAACATCAATGCACATAAAAATAAAACTAAATTAAAAATAACAAAGTACTTAGGCACAATGTAAATTTTAATAAAAACAATGAACTGGAAGCCACCTGGTTTACAAAAATGTATATTACTCTACCATTCAGATAACTCATTTCCAGAATTTCTAAAAAAAAAAAAAAAAGCACAAGAAAGGTTTTATCCAGGCTTTCCAAATTTTTGTTAATTTAATTGTTTTTCCTTTATTTGTTTGGTGTGTGTGTGTGTGTGTGTGTGTGTGTGTGTGTGTGTGTGTGTGTGTTTCAAGACAGGGTTTCTCTGTGTAACCACCCTGCCTGTCCTGGAACTCACTCTGTAGACCAGGCTGGCCTTGAACTCACAGAGATTTGCCTGCCTCTGCCTCCTGAGTGCAGTGCTCAGGTTAAAGTCCATGCACTCCCACCACCCAGCAATTTGTTTTCCATTGACTTGGAAACACTTTGTTGCCTCAATAAAATCACATGAAAGTGATGTCAAAATAATACTTTGTGCGTTCAAAATATTTTTCTTGTTAGTTTGAATGGACTACACATTTGGCACTAATTACATTCTTCGAACAAAATGAAGTGTTTTTAAAAAGGTATCATGGGCCAAGTGTGGTAGACATGCCTGAAATCTCAGCACCTGGGAGGCAGAGGTAGGAGGATTAGAAATTGAAGGCCAGCCAGAGCTCTGTAAAAATCTCATCTGAAATATAAAAAACAAAGACAAACAAGGGGCTGGAGAAATGGGCCTCCAGGGGACTCAGGTTCATTTCCCAGCATCCTCAGCAAGCAGCTCACAACCACCCACATCTGTAGCTCCCGAGGACCCTACAGCCTCAAACAGCAACAACAAACAACAGAAGAAAACCCCACAAACTCTTATTGTTCTGGAACAAGAAAAAAAATCACAAGATCTTTTATATTTCTGTGAAAGGTATCCAGAGGGCAGGGCTATCTGAAGGATACTGGCTCTAGTTTCCTGTGAAGGAAATAGCACTCACCATTGCTTTCTGACAATGCAAGGGTCACAACAATGGTAACACAACTTGAATCTTTGGCTAGAGTTTTGTGTTAGTTAGTTAGAGGAGATGACAGGAAGCTAGCTGGTTACCTAGAGATGAGAGAAAACACAGGGCATTGTAATTCCTTATAAGACAGTCTCACCGGAAGCTGAGCTCAGTTGCAGTTTCTCCCATGGGTTGTGGGTGATTCTTGGTTCCAGATGGCCCGTTGATTCTGATAGTCACTGGGATCACTTTGAGAGAGGGACTGCATGTGTCATAGAACCCACATGACATTCAGTGAATGGTATTGTGGGGATCCTTCTGGAATGAGCACTCTGACACCAATGAGACAGAAGAGGAGACCAAAGCCAGGTAGCTCCTGAAGAGCCTTAGCGGCTAGTCCACTTTGCATTTTTATTTTATACTCAAAACCATGTGGGGTAGGCAAACAACATAGTGCAGAGGCTTACACAGCAGTCAAACCGTTGCTAAGAGCAACGACCCATTGTTTAAGCTAGTTTTCTAGGTCATCCTGTTCTAGGTAACAAATTATGTTTGGCAAATAGGCAGTACAGGCAGTGTCTTAAGTAAATTACTAAGTAAATCAATAAATCGGTGTCTAGTAATTGGTCTTTTCTACCTTACTCTACTTCAGCATGTCAGCTAACTTGTTTAAGTGCATCTGAGCAAATTTCTCTCACTATTGCTTCACTCATCCTGTGTGGTCTGTAGAGACAATGAGGAAACAGAGGATATGGTTTCAGAATGGAGGAGTCCTAGGAAACAAGTCATGATGTCGTTGGTACCTATCACACAAAATGATTTACGTTTAATTCATAGAGCATATTTTTGAATGAGATTTTTGGCTATATAAGCAAAAAGACAACACATGCAGAAATATCTAAATTCCAAGATGGCAATATGTTCCATCAGAGTTTCTTTTCTTAAACTCCACATTTAAACAAAATAATAATAAAAGTAGGGGAAAGTTAAATTGTAGGAAGAGAACCAATCCTCCAGTGTCACCCTCTGCCCTCTACATGTGCCGAATGACACGCTAAAAAAATAAATAAATGAAACTAAAATACTTAAACAAAGTAACAAATGTTTTATTTTTAATTAATTAATTTATTTATTTATTCATTTATTTATTTTGGTTTTTCGAGACAGGGTTTCTCTGGGTAGCTTTGGAGCCTATCCCGGCACACTCACTCTGTAGCCCAGGCTGGCCTCAAACTCACAGAGATCCGCCTGTCTCTGCATCCCGAGTGCTGGGAGTAAAGGTGAGCGCCACCAACTCCCGGCAACAAACGTTTGAAAAAAGATTTTCTTTTCTTTGCCAAGTGCAGCCCATAATCCCAACATTTTGAAGACTGAGAAAAGTTCAACCAGTCTGAAGTAAGTAGGGATTTTCAGACCAGCCCGGACCCCACGGTAATGTCTTGGCTCAAGAAACAAACCACAGAAAAAGGCAGGAGTGGAGGAAGCTTTTCCTGGAAGTGGTTTACATCTGTAGAGTAAACGGGAAAGCCTGGAGCTGAAACACACAAACACAGCCGCTGCTGGAAGGACATTTCTAAGGTTCAGAATTGTTACATTGTGGAACATCGAACAACAAGAATTGAGCTTAATGTGACAGCCACAAACTAGCTATTTTCTTCAAGTAAAATGTACTAGGAATCTACTAAAGGCCACTATATTTTTTCATATATATGATACATATATATTTGAGGGGGTTTCAAGACAGGGTTCCTTTTGGAGGCTTTTTTTAAATATTTAAATTAGAAACAAGTTTGCTTCACATGTCAATCCCAGCTCCCTCTCCCTCCCATCCTCTCCCCAAAACCACAATATTGAAATTAGGAACGACACACTTTTTCTGATGGAATTCAGCAGTAGACAGAAACTTGACATACAAGTGCTGTGGGGCGTCTGCAGATTGTCAGAGAGCAAGTGTCTTCCCCGAAAGCTAATGTCGTGCTTTATTTCCACAAACAAAATGGTTTGTTTGTTTGTTTGGTTGGTTGGTTTTTTTGGTGTGAGTTAGCCAGAAGACAAATTGCTGAAGAGGAAGAGGGAGGAGAATTTCAAGGCCAGCCTGGGCTGCACTTTAGTGCCTGGTATGTCAATTCACAGCTGTAATTCCAGCAGCTGGAAGGCTGCTACAGGAGGGTGGCTGCAAGTTTGGCAATATAGTCCACATTAGTGATTTCCGGGCCAGCCTGGGATATAGAGTGAGACTCTATCTCCAAAAACAAAGTAAAACAAACACCATTGAAGGGAAATGTGGGAAACATGAGGGATTTACGAGAAAGAGGCATATTATTCTGGAAAAATAAGAGAGGAACAGCTTAAGGTACACAAAATGACAAGTTATAGAATCTTTAAAAAGCATTCAACTTGCAAAATGGTCAGCAGATGTCAGAAAAGTAAAAAAGTTGAGTTCCCAGGTACTCTGCAAGAACAACAAACGTTCTTAACCACTGAGTCATATCTCCAACATCCTATTTATTAATTTTTTTGAACCCCCTAGGACCTATGACTTCCCAAGTCAGGACTTCGACCACATTTACAGTATCAGGCATAAAATCCCACCCCCTTGCCTGCAGGGCTCAAATCCAGCCACAGGAGCTTTGGTTACCCCATTAACAGTCTTTCCACTATTACACCCGTGCGCTCAGCTTGCCTAGCAGGTTGGTGTTGCAGCATGCAGGGCTCAGTGCTGGGTTAGACCACTGATGTCTCCCCCCTCCCCCAGCAGTCCGGACAGTACCTGGAGACACTAAGAAAGCTAGCCAGCAGGGAGAGTTCTCTGACAGGTCCAAGAGTGAGTTTTCTGTGTCCTGCAACCAAAGTGTGTGATGTCTTCAGAAATAGGTTCTTACCATTTTAGTTAGGGTGCGCAACCAAGAGCCATGGTAGTAGCCTTTGTTGAAATTTTATTTTTACAACGTCAAAGAATTAATAACCCTGAAAAATATGAGATAGATCAATGTGGATTCCAGGTAATATAATAACTAAATGCGGCATGATTAACAAAACATGCCCAAAGTCTAAATTTTGAGCTGGATCAGAATGTAATGTGTATTTCATGAATTCATTTAAAATACCATGCTTACCAAATTAACACCACACACACACACACACACACACACACACACACACACACATTTTAACAAACACAACTTCATTGTGCATGGATCTCTACAAACTTTCCACTAAAATACTTAAAAGAAGAAGAAAAAAAACACCTTACTAGTATTTTTTTTTCATGTAACCAATGAGCAGTAACGTGCCTGGACAGAACATGTAAACCTGGAATGGAATAACCTAATTTCGTGTTTTGCTGATTTTCTACTCTGCTGCATTCAACATCTACCACCCATTTGCTACTGTGTAAGCAGGAAAATGACTCTCACAGTCACAGTAAATTGAGAAGAGGGCTTTTTTTAAACCTCCAGCAGTTAAAATAGATTGCCCTTTGTGGTCACACCACTGACCTTTCCTGAGTTTACTTGACAGGCAGTGAAAACCCTGACAAGTGTTCTGGTGAGTTAGTTTACTCTGGCCATCGAATCACATAGCAGGGTATCACTAATAGATTGTACTTCTTCTAATTTTATTTTCATACACTATAGTATATGGTGATCTATATAAAGCAATCACCTACTTTGAGAAGATAATCAAAATACCTTTAGTGCTAGCTCTGGCTTTATATTCTATTTCTTATCTACCTGCAGTTTATCAACTTGGTTGTTAAGATCTGAATAATTCAGGAATCTATATTGCTTTGAAATGAGTAAGCGATCAATAATGACATGGTGAAAAGAAAAAGTACTGTCCTATTTTATAATCAACTCTAACTCTTTCAACATTCTGAAGCCAAATGATGTAGCTGCTTACTTTTGCATTATTCATAGAGATCAATTTCATATTTATATTTCCCAGTAAGTTAAGTATGGAACTTACAGAGTTTGATGCATGCACTCTCCTGGGATGAAGAGAGGGGAGAAAGGGCCAGAAAGTGCACCAGAGAGTGATTCGATCCCAAGAGATAAAGTGGTTGCTACACAGTAGCCTGTCATGAGAGAAGGGACTTTCTCCTTTCAAACTCACCCCGAGTAAGAGGCAGATGTTTGCATCAAGAAACCTGATATACAAATTCTGCCACTGCTGTAGCTTTGCTTGGTGACACGTTTTCCATCCTTCTGACCTTGGTAAAGAATCCACAAAAATAGTTATTAATTCATCTCCAAGTCATAATTAAGAAAATTAATTTAAAACTAACCAAAATAATTAAGAAAGGTTCTCCAGAACACTTTGTAAATGCTTATGGTTAGTCATGCTAGCCATAACGTTACCAGGTGCTTAACACAGGGAAACTAGAAGTTACTGTTTATTGAGCAGAATTTCAGGCCTTTGGTTCTGTGTACTTAGGTAGAGTACTTATTAAACAAAACAATGGAGGTGGTGAGTCCAAAAGAAAGAGTCCCCAAATGGTTGCGATGATAAATCACAGAGCTCACTTACAGGGAAGACTAGTTTTCATCTCCCACACACGATTTAGGAAGCTGTCTTAGTGCTTTTCTGATGCTGTGACTAATATACCCTAAAGAAACACCTTGGAGGAGGAAAGGGTTTGTTCTCGGTCACAATTACAGTCATCACAACTGGGAAATTGAGGCTGCAGGAACTACTCCCATCTACGGTCAAGAGCAGACAGAGAATGAATGAATGCATGTGTGGGTTCAGCTCATTTTCTCCTTTTTATGCAGTTCAGGACCCAAACCCAAGGCAGGGTACCTCCCACTTTTAGGCTGGGCCTTCCTACACCAATTAGTATAATCACAACACAACACAACACATTCCCTAGCAGACATGCCCACAGGTCAACCTACTTCAGACAATTCCTCACTGAGATCTCTTGCCCAGGTGACTATAGATTTTATCAACCTGACAGTTTAATCATCCCAATCTTCAATAGCACCAGTGAGCTGATTCCAGCACAGGCTGAACCAGAGACCACCTAGATGCACAGAGAGTTCTACAGTGAAACCAGGTATGTGGAGGCACATGCTGGGTAGCCAACTTTATACTCGGTTAAAGCCAAGAAGGAATGAGAAGGACGTTATCAGCTGCAGACATCAGTAGCTTGTGCCAACTGCACAGCCAGAAGCAGAGCTAGACAGGCATCTCGCTGTGATGCAAACCCTACACAAAGCCCAGCACTCATGTTCCGATGAGGAGCTCTTCTCTGAGTGCCAGACAACTCTCTACAAAGGGGAGAGGGGCATAGAAAGGGAAGAGCAATAACTTCAAAGAGGCAGAGATAAAGAGATTATTCAAGTATGATGAACATTGGCTTCAAAGC